GTCAGAGGCACAGCATAGGCACCAAGACAGGAAGGAGGGAGCAGCTCCGGGCTCTGACACGGGCTACAGGACTGGTCTGGCCTCTCTCCCAGATATGAGATGATAATAAGCGAGTTAAGAAATACAGGGTTGGAAACAGCATGTACAATTTTTGACAGCATTTCCTCCTAGGCCGCCAGGATGACACATCAAAATAGAAAGCAAGAAAAACAGAAAACTCGGGCCCTTCTTGTAAAACGATTTTCTCTGGATAGCACATGCCAAAAAAAGAAGACAACAAAGATCCCGTACCCCAAAAAAGGAACATGGAGTTAAAGAACGTTTCTGTCCTGCCCCCACCCCCACCCCACCCCCTGGATTCTTGGCCCGCGTCCTTTGCAAGACAGTTTGAATCAGCCTCCGTGGAAGGGAGGGTCTTTTTTTGAGCAGAACCAGCCTGAACTTGACCAGAGCCGGTCTGAACTTCAACCAGTGCTCCTCTGGCCTGGCCTGGCCTGGTGTGGGCGTTCTCTTGAGACCCGCAATGCAACTGAAGCCAAGACAGGATCTGAGATCATGGATTACAGGATGGAGGTGTGCTGAGCCACAGAGAACAGGTAGCATGCTCCCATTCGGAGGGCCCCGACTTCCTCAGAAGAAAAACAGTACCGAGCTCTCTTATTGATGTCACTTGCAGATTGCCAACTTTTGCTCTGATCCAACTCTGCCAAAAGTTCATCGCATTCACCAGCAGAGACCTGTAAAAACTCTTTCGGTTGGTGCTATAGACTGAATGTCTGTGTGCCCCCCCACTCCCCCCTGCCTCCCACATTCATATGTGGAATCTTGATCCCCAGTACGATGGTGGTAGGGGGTGGAACCTTTGGGAGGTGATTGCATCATGAGGGTGAAGTCCTCACCAATGGGAGGTCTGCGGTTATAAAAGAGACCCCAGAGAGCTCCCTTGCCCCTTCTGCCCTGTGAGGACACGGTGAGAAGTTGGCAGTTTGCAGCCAGGAAGCAGGTTCTCACCAGACCTGAAATCTGCAGGGGCCTTGTTCTTGGACTGCCCGGCCTCCGGAACTGTGAGAAATAAATTTCTGTTGCTTATAAGCCATCCAGTCTACCGTATTCTGTTACAGCAGCCTGAACTGACCAACACAGCTGGATTCAAGGTCAGGGTGACCGCTGCAACTAAAACAAATCCAAAGGAAATGGATCGAAGTCATTTGTTTAATTGATGAGGCAGGTGAAGAAGCATGCATTTAAAAGGATATGATATTTGGGGCGCCTGGGTGGCTCAGTTGGTTGAGCGCCCAACTTTGGCTCTGGTCGCGATCTCGATCTCGTGTTCATGGGCTTGAGCCCCTGCATCGGGCTCTGTGCTGACAGCTCAGAGCCTGGGGCCTGCTTTGGATTCTGCGTCCCCCACCTCTTTCTGCCCCTCCCCTGCTCAAGCTCTCTCTCTCTCTCTGTCTCTCAAAAAATAAAATAAAATGTTAAAAAAAATTTTTTTTAAAGAAGGAAAGGATATGATACAAAAACAAAAGTGAAATCTCAGAAACTTACAGAGGAAAAAGATAGATGAAAAGAGAAAAGTGTCCATCAAGCTGCGGTACATTTATCGTTTTGTTGAGTCATATGAAAGCACCACACTAATCTATCATAATTCGCCTTGTTCTTTTTCAGTGAGCAAAGACATAGAAAAGCATGTCGGAGGCCCAAGATAACTAGTTACAGGTTCTGTCGAAGTGAAGCCCTCTGTTCCCCTGGATCCCATCTGCTTCTTTTTTTCCAAAGCCGGTGGCTCCTCCAATCACCCCTTTCAGTTTTGTTTTACTTTCCAGAGGATTCTGCCCTCCTACTCAGGGACCAGGAAAGGGAGTATTTGTTTTATCTAGCCTGACAACTCTGATT